GAGGCCTGTCCCAGGCTGCAGGCGGAGGCACCTGGTCTCTGTGGGGGCTGGTCCTGAGGTGCTGCAGGCTCCCTGGTGTGAGGTGGGGCCCCTGGGGGTTGCTTGGCAGACCCCGGGCATAGCCGCATGTGCCCTGGGACGAACAGTCTTGCAAGGGGCTTGGGAGAGTAACTGCTTCCTGCCCGCCCGGGGCTGCCGGGAGTGGGCAGGCAGCTGCCGTTCCCTCCTACGCTGCCTGGGGGACATTTCCTGGAGAATCAGGAGTGGCCGTGGGTGGAACTGCAGATGCCAGGGCCATGACTCTCATCCCCGGGCACTTGCCGGGCTGCCTTGTGCCTCCGCTGGCGGGTTATCAAGGCCCACTTCCTCCTCTGGCCCTAGGACTTGGGGGCCAAGCCAGCAGGAAGCGGGCTCTTCCTACCCGGCTGTCCAGGTAGAGCACCTGGGAGAGGCCAGGGCCTGCCAGACACGATGACAGTGACGAGTGAGCGCACAGCGGTCGAGTGTGGTGGGCCGGGCGGATCCTGCAGGTGGGCAGCTGGTCAGGGACCGCACACCCCCAGGGAAGCCCGGGCAGGGGAGGCTATTCCCCTTCACCCCTCCCGTGCAGCCCCTCCTGGCACCCTAACCCCTCTCCTGAGCCTCCCGGGCCTAGGTAAGGTAGGCAAATTCTGCCCCCTTCCTGCCATTTCCTCCCACCAGGACGCCCCAGGCTGGAAGACTCCCGTGCCTGATGCCCTGGCCGCCGACTTCACCCTTGGCCCCCAGGAGGCGGCTGGGGGTGACCTGCCCGGGGCTTCCTGGAGACTGACGGAGGCGGCGCTGAGGAAAGTACTCATTCTCCTGGCCTGGAGTTGAGACCAGAACATCCCGGGAGCCATTTGCCAGGACAGAATCAGCCTGTACTTTGGAATACAGGCCCCCCTTTCCCTCCCTGCACCGAGGCCCGATCGGGCCGGGAGATAGCGGAGCTGGCGGCCGTCCTGGCAGGCGCTGAGTCACTGCTGCGCAAACATGCCCCGCCTGCGATGCGCTGCCAGCTTCGCTATCTATGCACACACAGCTCAGCCATCCTCAGCCCAGACTAACGACAGCCAAAATATCCCTGGAGAAGCCACCTTCCAGCAAGAGTGACAGCCAGCATGGGTTTGGCGGAACAGACAACTGAGCGTGAGCGGGCCCGGCCGGCTGTCTGCACCCTGCACCCACGCCCTGCGGTAGGTGGGACGGTGCCCCGCAGGGGGCAGGGCGGCTTCGAGATGGGAAGGGCTGGCGCACGCTGGGGACCCGGCCTGCTGTCTTTGCCAGCTGTCCCTGCTCCTTACCGCAGGGTCGCCTCACCGGGGCGGTGAGCAGTATCCTTCTCTCTTCCACCAGCGGGCGGCGAGGCTTGTTCCCCTGCGTGCCTGGGCGCGGCCTGGGCGTAGGGCAGCTGGTTAGAGTCCAGCCAGCGGTTGTCTGGGCCTCCGTCGTGCCGGCCCTGCCTCCACCCCTTCTGCAGGACGCCGGGACACGAGAAATGGCCTGAGGGCCAGTGTCCAGCTCCTTCTTGTCCTGGGCCGTGGGCGTCTGCTGTCCGTCCTGGCCCACTGCAGGCTCATGGTGGGGAGCATTCGTCGAGCACTTTCTATGCGCTGGTCTGATTCCATTCCATCCTCCCGACCTCCCTGCGGGTGGGACCTCTCGTTGCCTTCAAGTGACAGATGAGGCAGTGGAGGCAGAGAGGTCACAGACGTTTGCGAATGACGGGGGTGGGATTTGAACCGAGGGCTCCTCACCCTGCCGCTGCCTCGGACGGCAGGCGCACAGGCCGGCGTGGAAGGAGCAGTGTGGGCGAGGCGGCCCCGCCTCCTCTGTCTCCGCGGCATCGAGATCTCCTCATCGACTTGTCGGTTTGTCCATTTACACCCACTGTGTGCCACATGCATCGCCTGGCACAGGGAGACAGAGGGGACAGAGAGGCACAGGGCACGGGACCCCTGCCGGAGCTCAAGCCTCCCCAGGCCCGGCCTCCCCGCTGTCCAGGCGGGGCCTCGGGGAGGGAGTTTATTCGGAACAGAAAGGGCGGCTGGCGGGGCGGAAACGGGTGTGAGGAGGGAGGACGAGGCCGTCATCACGGGAAGGGGCCAGACGCAGGCACATGAGAGGCCGGGAGGGGACGCGGCTGTGGACCAGGTGTGAGGGGCCGTGGCCTGGGGAGAGCTGAACCCACGAGGCCTGACACCGGAGGGTCAAGACCAGCTCCGGGTGGTGACGCCCAGAAACCAGGAGGGGGCTGTTTGGGGGAGTTTGCCGGGGCCGGGGGGCACAGGAAGGGGCAGAGGGTGGACACGGCCAATGACTCGGAGACTACGGTGCAAACTCGGGTAGTGCTGTCCCCACGCCACCACGGGGGAGGGAAAGAGAACAAGGGCAGGGCTGGGCTTGGGCGGAGACAACCGAGCAGAGCGGAGGGTCGCAAAGCCAGGCGGCGTCCGCGGGCGGTGCTGAGGGGCTGGCGCCAGCACAGCTGTCCGGGCGGGTCAGACGGGGCCTAAAGCTCTGGGTGGGCAGCCGAGCCCACCAGAGCGCCTGACACTGCGGGAGCAGGTGTGACAATAGCGGCCGACGGCAGGGCTTGCGCCCAGAGCTCTGCACCGACAGTGCTCTCCCCAGATGCACACAGCCACCGTGAAGCGGGTGCCTGCCCCTCCCCATTTTGCAGAGGGGTGAGGCTGAGGGACGTGCCAGCATCGCGCAGCTAGGAAGTGACAGAACCAGGGCTCCAGGAGCGTCAGGGCTCAGCCCGAGTCTGGAGTGGGCTGCAGAGAAAGATGTTGGAATTTGGAGGGGAGCTGCCCGCCGGAATCCTGCCCTCCACCCTGGGGGGGTGCTGGCTTGTTCAGGCTCTCACAAGTGACCGTGCCGGGCAACGAGGACATGGCTGCTGACGACAACGCCACCTGGACCAGCCTCCCATCCCCAGGAGCAGGGGGTGTCACCCTGAGTGGCACCGCAGCGGGCCGAGGTGCTGAGGGGCAGGAGGCCTGGCTCCGGAGGGGCTCTGTGTAAACAGAGGCTCGGAGGGGATGCCACTTCCCCCAGACCGCACAGCCAGCAAAGGGCCGAGGTGGGATTCGAGTTCCCTCTGGCCCCGAGCCTGCCCATGGGTTCCATTTTCTGCCCGTTGAATTTCGGGTATGGGGACCACCCCCCAAGAGCTTGCTGCTATTCCATGTTTGTTTATCAACCAAACTTCACACGTGTTCAGGTGCTGTGAAGGTGAGAGGAGGAACTCGTAAGCTGGATGGCCCGAGATCAAGACTGAAAAGATTTGAGGAGGTAGACAGACGGGCCAACAGGAACACGACGGCATTAGTGGGGTGATGGGGAGGTCTTGTGTGTACGCTTAGAATCACCATTGCACAAGGGCAGGATGGAGAAATTCGATGCAAACAATGTACCTGACACTGATTAAGGCCAATGAACTCAGAGGTTATATAAACAGGAGCATCACGACCAGCACAGGGGAGGTGATAAATCCCAGACCTCTTCACTGATCAAATCACAGGCTGTGTTGTATTTGGATCCGGATGTCGTGTTTTAAAAACAACATTGACAAACATGAGTCTGCCTGGAGGAGGGCGGCCAGAAAGTGGGCAGAGGAGGGGAGGCGAGGGAGGGTCTACGGGAACGATGCCATATTAAGAATGATAAAGGGCGCTCACTGTTCAGGGCCTGCCCTCTGCCTCTAGAAGACGGACTTTGGATAGGTGCACAAGGCAGACACAAGGAAGAACTTCCTAATAATGAGAGTGGTCCTACAGAGGCGTGACCTGAAGAGGAGGGAGCTCCCTGTCCCTTGGAGGGTGCCAGCCTCTCCTGTACACCTCCCGGCGCACCGACATGCCTGACCTCGACCACAAATCAGATCTGGGCGCTCCGCCTGGACACACCACTCTGGTTTCAGCAGTCCTCCCGATAACCCTCTCCACAGCAAAAAGACCCCAACAGGCCACACGCCACGTTGAGTGGCCACGTCTCCTTAGCCTCTTTAAGTTGGGGAATATTTCCCAGCATTTCCTTGCTCTCGTGGCCTTACAACGTTGGAGCTTACGGGAGAGCCACTTTGGGCAACGCTCCTGCTTGGATGTTTTCTCCTGGTTGGATGCTGATTTCAACTCTTTGCTGCACCATCCCAGAAGGATGCCAGCTTCTTCTCGTGGCCTTCTGCCCGGTTGGCACGGGATTCTCAGTGTGGCCTCTTACTGACGAAGTCCACGTGGACCGGTGGATTAAGGAGGTGTCTGTTGGCTTCTTCGCCGTAAAAGTATTCTTTTCCCTGTTGTCACCAGTAGGGGTGTCGTGGGGGACGTTCTCAGGAAGCCCATAAATGTCTCACTTCCCGTCGGCGATCTCCCACTGGCGATGACCTCGGCTGAGCTAATGTCGCCATCGTATCAGCCACAGAGGGGCCGCCCGTGTATTTGCCTAATGAATGAATCCGAATTTCACAGCCCAAGGGGCGGACAGACCGACCACGTCCCCTCGTGCCACAGGGTCTCTTTTGGGTGGGAGACATGCTGTCTCCACACACTCACCTGACCGTACCCCCCCATTCCTGCGCCAGCAGACTCACCTGCAAAGTGCCCCCCCGGGACGTGCGGCAGGGTCGTACCTGACACGAATTGGGAGCAATATGCAGTCTCTCAGGGTCCAAGAGGGGTTTCAAGCAGGGGAGGGACACCTTTAGTTTATGTTAAGCAAAAATGAAACAAAAGCGAACACCCAGCTGCTAGGAAGAGCTTGGGGTGCCGCGCGTTGCAGCTGGGAAGACCATGGAGACCAGCGAGGAGGGAGCTCGGGGAGCCTGGGCGGGGACCTCACCTGCCGGCGCGTGGGGAGGCGCGACGCTGGGAAAGGCGGGAAGGGCCTTGGCCGCCCTGAGGGCTCCTGGGGCTGGACCGCAGGGGAGGCCTGTGCGCCCCCTCTCCGCCCTCTCCTTCCCGGACACCCCGTACCTTTGGTTTCCCTCAGCAGCTCTTCTGTGAACTTGACCACCTGGGCCACCTCCGCCCACGGGAAGCCTTTGCCCACGGCGAAGACGATGCTGTCGTAGAGTGTGTCCAGCAGGATGCTCCTGCGGGAGTCCCGCAGCTCGTCGAGCTCCTCCCAGTTCAGGAGTCTCCGCAGGTGCTCCCGACCTTGTGACTTCTGCAGGGGGTGGTGTGGGAGGGCGTCGCGGGGTCAAATGCCATCCTTGCTGGGCAAAACACCACTGGGGGCCCCAGGCCGGCACGCCAGACCCTGATGAGTAAGTGGGAATGCGGGTGCACCCGGGTGGACTCACACTTTGATTTCCAGGCAGCTTCCCCAGGAAGGGGACTTTCTCTCCTTGCTAACACTGACCTTCCTCTGTGAGTTCTCATACTAGCCACAGGCAGGCCTCAAGTTCTCAAATACAGTTCCTTTTTCCTCTTCCCTAAAACACGGTTTGACTTCCCTCGGAGTCTACTCTCAGCTAGCTGCCCCAGAGGTATCGATCTGATAATGAAATTCATACTAAAGTGTACATGACTGATGGAGAAGAGGCTTGGTGAGGTGATGCTTTAGCAGCAGGTATGAGTCCTGTTTGGTGAAAATTCAGGCCCATTTGCAGGCCAGGAGGGAAATACTGTTCAGGGTATCTGTTTTCCGTACCTAGAGGTAAGAACCCATTTTCCTTGAGAGTGTGGCTGGCCCTTCTAGAAAGATTCTTATAGGTTACCCACAGATGTAGAAGAAGTAGTTGCCACTCAAAAGAAGGGATAAGAAAAGGTGTGGGGTGACGTGGAGACCGACTGCATGTAAGGGTGTTGCTCCCCCAGAGCGAGGGGAGGCTCTGGCTGGGGGGACCCTGGGGGACTTGGTGACAGAGGGGGGCCCCGGGGACTCCCCCTTCACTGCTGCCACTCTGCTGCCCGACCCAGGCAGCCCTTTCCTGCAGCGCCTTCTCAAAGCAACAGAAGCCCCCACCCCCACACCGCGGCGCCCTTCCGCAGGGCTCCTGGGAGGCAGACTCAGCCCCTCCGTCCCTCCAGGCGGGCTCCGCTGCCCTGGGTCCCCACCGTGCGGGGCTGGCCCACCGGCCTGGAGCTCAGGCCCACGCACCGGTCACAGCTCGGAAGCTGTGTACTGGGACACGGCGGCCACCGTAGGGTCACCTGAGCAAGCCCCACCCGGAGCCGCTTCGAGCGCACCCCCCCGCCCCAGCCCCACACACCTTCCTTTTAAAAGCCGTGTTTCTCTTTCCTCACCTGAGATTGGAAGACTTCCTTCACTCCCTGGGGTGTTAAGAGTGCCATGGCCCCTGCATCCGGTTGCCAGGAGACCCGGCCAGGAATGACTCAGAGTTTCCGGAACCCTGGGGGTGGCCAGGCCTGCTTTGTTAGGTCACCAGGCCTGCTTCTCGAGGACTTTCCCGGGCTTCTTTCCTGCCGGCCCCTCCTCCCCGTGTGGCTCTGGGCCTCACTGCCCACCCCTGCCCAGGGACCGCCACCCCCTTCCTCTCCCTGAAAACCTGCCCCCCTTCAGGAAGGGATGGTCCCATGCTTCCCCAGACACACGAGCACACACACGCACACACGTGCACGCTGCCTCCTCATCCTACATGTCCTGCCCCCCGCCTCACCCTGTTAGGATCTGGCCTGCACCCCGCTTCTTCACTGGCCAGTGGCATCCATCCTCTGTATTTACGGAGTGAGGTGTCCCCAAGTGCCCCAGCCCCTCTATGCCACCATTAGGAGGGGTCGGTCTCCCTCTCCAGGCTGGTTTTGCCCTTCTCTGTCCCGGAAGCCCCCGGCGCCCCCGTCACCTGGCGGGAGTCCTGCTCTGCGCTGCTCACTGGAGCCGCGGCGAGGAAGCCTGGGCACACGGGCCGGGCCTGGCGGACGGCCTCTCGGCCCCGGCTCCCCAGGTCACAGTGCTTCCCCCGGGGCGGGGTTGGGAGAGGCCCCGGCTGTGCCACCTCAGCCACGCTGAGCCACGGTCCTCCCCGAGCCACACGACCCACCAAGGCTCACTCCCCGGCCCGCCTTCCTCTTCCTTCTGGTGACGCTCTCTCGGGCTCTTGCTGCCCTTCCTGGCCACACACTCTTGAATGACTTTATCCAGTCCCAAGATCCGTCCATCGCAAGCGACTCCCATGTGGACGCGGTGGAGGTCGTCCATCTGCCCAGCCGGGTGTGCTGGGTGCTGCAGCCCCTCCCCGAAAAGCAGGGGCTGCTGATAGTGCAAATCCTCAGACACGCAGGGGCCCCTGGGGCCAGGTGAGATTTAACGTTTACTGGCTTTTCTCTCGTAGCTACGCGACGTCAGCTTCTCCGGGATTTCTTTGCATCTTTAGTACTGGCTAAGGCGGCGGGGGGAGTATGGTAGGTGTCTCAGAAACACTGAGTCATGCATCTCGTACTGATGGATACAAAGGCCTCCAAGGCTCAGGTTGAAAAGTTCTGGTCGTCTTTTTAGAGCTTTGAATAGTTGAAGTAGGTTCTCCATAGGACAAAGACTATTTGACCAAGAAACCCGTGGGATCACGGATGTGTACACACAGCCATTCTTAGAGGAAGGGCAGCCGTGCGTCCCGAAGCCGGGCTGCTTGGGGCAGCCCCAATGTACTAGATAGTGTCCTGCTTCCCTCCCTGAAGTGACTTGGTTTGGCTGATAAAATACGTGACCACCCCACTGAGAGGCCACTGAATCCACTTCCTTTATTTCGTAAATGTGGACCCTGAGCAAATTATATTTTCCCTTTGCTTGCAATGTTTCCCTGCATTCCCCTGGGGAAAAAAAGTGAGTGAAAGTGTTTATTGCCCGTGTGTGCGTATTCATGTAGCCAGACGGAGCAGCAAGTATTAAACACCAGTGAATGCTGGTCACCTGTGAAGCGCACTCGATAGCTGTGACCCGAATCCACGCATCCGAAACGTCTTTGTGCTGCCCGCATCCTTGGGCTCTACGTGAAGAATTTGGACTTCCGCTGACGACTATTGGGCTCGACAATGTTTGCTCTGACTTACTACAATCACTCGGGCAAGCCCAGCTTTCACCCGCAGCGTGGCTCCGCCCACAGCCCACGCCCTCGCTCACGTGGCCGCTCCGACCCACCTGCCGAACGAAGCCTCGAGTGCCTGCGTTTGCGCACCGATCGGCTTGATGCTGAACACACACAAACTAAGCCTGTGCTTCTTGGTGGCCACACACCCTCTCTCCCAGTAATTTCCCCGGGGCTCTTTCACCTGATTAATGATTTCCAGTGAGGAAACTGCCAAGCAAGAGGTCAGAGTTCATCCCCTGCCTCCTGGCAGCCCTGCACCTAAACACGGATATTCTAAAAAAATAAAAAGCTTTCAGCCTTCGGAGAGTAGGTTTGATAATTTCAGGCTCCGATAGTTCCCAATCGGTGTTGCCGACATAAAACCAAAAAGATCAGTTTAGTCCGAAACGGGTAAGAAGAGCCCTCCCCGGGGAGCCTGGTTATTCAGCCTCGGCAGAGAGAACAGCCGAGGGATGGAGGGACTCGAGCACCTGACTCCTGTCTGACGCGGTGTCTTCGTGTTTCCTTTTCTGCTCTCTTGCGGGAGATGGCCAGCAGGCAGCCCCGCTTCCCTGCTGTCCCCCACCCAGGACTTGGGGCTCCTGCCTGGCGCTCAGAACGGGCGGGGCACTCCCCCTCCAGTGCAGGCTGGAACAGGGTGGGAGCCCCTGGGAGGGTTCCCTGCAGCCCCCGGCCGTGTTAACAGCCTTGGTGAGTGTACCCTTGGGCAGAGGGCCAGGAGCTATCTGTGTAACCCCACTGAGCCAATTATCGTCTCTGCAGATGGCGTCCCCCACTAATCTCCTGGGTCGGTCCTAATCCAGCTCTCTTCTGGGGAGAGCTGCCGGGGCGGCAGGTCTCCGTGCAGACAGGCCATCTGCTTGAGCCCAGGAGACTCAGCTCCCGCCCGACAGACTTGGGCTCGGGGTTCCCAACCCAAGGCGAGCAGCCCCGAGGACAGGCCAGAGGAGGTTGGCCAGCTCTGCAGCCCAGCGGGAGCCGAACCCGCCGCAGGGAGAGAGGTGGCGTCCGCACCGGCCTGACTTTTCCCCGCTGGACGTCCCCCTGCGGCCAGGGGCTCAGGGGAGCTGCGCCATGCCCTTGTGCTCCCTGGAGGACGGTGAGTCAGCAGCTGCCCGTGTCCCTCGGGGTGAGTCGCCGGAGGGGCAGAGCGTTTTGGCTCTGGGAAGCCACAGCAGAGCGGGAGGCGTTTCAGCCTGAGAGCCTGGGAGGGGCGACCCAAACGGGATGCTTGCGGTGATGCAAGGCCGGGTCTCTTCCCCGCAGCCTACCGGGCCGCTGGGGGCAGGTCGTGTTCAGACACGGAGCTGCTGAGCTTGGGTTCCTGCTCGCTGATTTATAGGATGTTGCTGTGATGGCCCGTCTGGCTCTCCCACCTGGACCTGGAGGGTGAGCAGGCGGCCTCTGCAGCCAGGGAGGAGGCGTCCGTCCCTCCCGAGCACCCTCCTCGGGCTCTTGCAGTGGAGGGAGGGGTGACTCCCACAGGGTGGGGACGGCTGGGGCGGAGTGCCTTCTGGAGAGGGCCCAGACTTCTCACAGAAACTTCTGAAGAGCCAAGGGGGCTTGGGGTCCCTGTAAATGACCTCGCCGAATTTTCTCTGCCCGGCCTCAAGGTCAGCATCCCATGCCTATGTCTACAGAAGCAGAAACGGAGGCCCGGGGAGATTAAGTTATGGAAGGGCCACAAAATCAAACGGGGGTCTGCTCTTTTTACAGCTGTGACCTTCCCCAGGTGAGCTGGGCAGGTGCCCGCCTCCTGTCCCGGGTTTACTGAGGAAGAAACTGGGGCCTGGGGGAGTTGCGTGGTTCTCGGAAGGTCACGTGGCCACAGAGCGTAGATCCGCGGCAGGCTCTAGGTTCCTCTGACCAGGTCCGCGCGGCTGCGGCGAACTGTCCCCGCGCCTTGGCTCTGTACTTTCCCATGGGGCTACGCCTTGCTACCAACTGGTCCCCCGGCTCCCTCCACGGAGGAGGAAGCTCCCAACCCCAGCCGCTGCACAGTGACCAGGAAGGGGGCAGAGCCGCTGCCTCTCCGGGTAGCTGCGGGGGAGGCCTGGGCAGCAGCAGGACCCCTCCCCTGCGGAAGGGGCACAGCCCAGAAATGCGTCTCCCAGTGAGAGCACCCCCAGAGAGATGCAGCCCACGTCATTCTTCATTTACCCTCTTAGTTCCGTAACATCTAGAAATCCTCTTACAAATCGTGGTGACCTCAGAAGGACTGCTCCCCCTTCTAACCCAGGGGGGAACAGAAGAGCTGGTCGCCATTTTCCGCAGCTTAGCGCTTAAACGAGGGCGTGTGGACGTATGCGCGGGTTGCACGTGCGTGGGTGTTTGGGTGTGTGTGTGCGTGTGTGTGCATGTGTTGGTGTGTGTTTGCGTATGAGGGGGGGAGACCCAGTGCCTTGGACAGACCCCAGGACCGGCAGTCACAAACCCAGACCTGCTCTGGCCGGCTGGGAGGCGCCTGGGCCTTAGTTTCCCAGGTGGAAATCGAGGCAGTTGGACTAAACAAGCCTTCGGTTCTTTCCAGCCCGATAGCCTGTGCACGCAGCTTCTCAGCTCCAAGTTAAATAACCCCAGTCCCTGTAACCTTCCCCTGTAAAACACATTTTCCAGTCCTTTAATCATCCTGGTTGCTTTCCTCTGAACTCCCTCCAAGAGACCTGTGTCATTGGATAAGTATGTCGTATAAATTAGTCAGTAAATCAGTCTGTCAACAATATCTCTTGAGCAACCGCTCTGCGGCTTGCTGGAGGTGCTGGGCTGATACAAACCAGCCACACGGGAACAAAAAGAGTTTTCACGCTGCCTCAGACCAAGGGTTCATTTGTCCAGCAGTGGTCTGGGGCACTAGGGACATGCTGGGAGGACGTTGTTCCTTTTCATGACACTAATCTCAAAAGACCGGGGCCTTCCCCAGCACGAATGTCTGCAAATGCTTTGAGTAGACATTAGCGGGGCACCTGCTCTTGTCCAGAGCTCCACTAGGCACAGTGAGCTGTTCCTGACTCTAGGGCGGGAACAGGAAGTCGAGGAGGATGAGTAGGGGGTCGCGGCAGTGGGGGGCGGGGGTAAGCGGGTCCTGAGTGGGGACCTGGCCAACCTCACCACAGCAGGTGTGACCTTGGTGTTAGGATGCGGGCTGCTTTGAAAGGTTTTTTCCTCTGACACATCGGGATCAATCATAAAGTGAGGTAGCTGAAAGAGTTCCAAATTTGGGGAAAACCGGACCTCTATTTGACAACTGATTTCACCACTCATTAACTGCGT